ACAATCTGTGCTTTTACCAATCCTGAATCGATTTCGCGAATGAATAGCTTTCTCTTAGAGCATGGCTGGTTGGAGTTCAGCCAGGGTACAAAGAATTCCAAATACCTAAAGCTGCAACTCCACACACACACAAATTATTTTGTGAAAATGCCTGACTTCGAAAACGTAATGTGCAATAAGTAAGTGCAAGTATAATGTTCTGTAATGCATCGGTAATATTTTTGACATTGCATAATGTTTTGCATTCGCATTAAGCAAGCAGTCGATGTGACAGAGAAAAACCCGCACCACTAATAAAGTTGATGTTTTTTGAGATTTTCTTATGCAATGATTACGGAATAAGATTCTAAAGCTTGTTATTAGTTGTTTTATTAATTTATACTATATTTAAATTAAATTCAGAGATTATGACTAATAATGTGGTCATGATGGCAAGAATATAATATATTTTCCTATATATGTATGTTAATGATGTTTTGCTTTTATTTTCAATGCAACGGAAGAAATTTTTTATAATTATAAACGGTCATCATACCGTATCGATACTTTGCAGTAGTAAGTTACGTGTTCGAAGTCAGCCAATATGCCATGGGCGATTTGTTTTGCGACGCATGACACAGTTTGTCCAAGTGATCCACACCTTCTTTAGTTTCATTGCCTCATTGCCATATAAAATAAAATCATTTCTGACTAGTTTATATTTTCGGCATCTTCAGTTCGTGAATTGTGTTTCGTGGAGAGTAATAGTACACAGCGATTATTTTTTGGTGCATATGAGCTCAACGACATTGTATTCCGAAATCCAAACTTATTACCTTCAACAGTTTTAGATGGATGTGCTTGAAATTGAGATGGTATGCATAACCTATTTTTTTGGAGTGTCCCTACGCTTGTTAGACCATTTGAGAACAAAGTTTTTGCGAGTTCGAAGCTGGTTAAAAAGTTGTCAACGTAATATTTCTACATGTACGATAAAAAGGCTGACATAATTGCTGTACGACGTTTTGGACTAAGTTATAGGCTCGTTGATTATTTTCTTTACTTAAATATGGTATTACTTTCAACGAATATGAATTCGAATAATCAAAAATCCACAAAATTTTCATCCCGTATTTGTCCGGCTTGCTTGGTATATAATATATTGTTTGAACGATGTTCGACCACGAAAAGGCACCAACTTTTAATTTATCGTTTAATTTTTTCCAGGAATATAGTACTTCAAAAAATTCCTATTGGCGATTTTCCACGCATCTCTAATGGGTGTCAATTTATATCTGGGTGGCAAAACAACTTTATTTGACGAGTTTTTAAATAAGGGAATCACTTTTCTTGTGGCTATTGGTAATGAGTTCCAGATGGTTCCATCTTTACCAATTAACATATGTATTAGTGTTGTCTTCGTTATTATCTTCACTTAATTGCTTCTCATCTGTCTCGTCTACATCATCTTCAGAAGCTACTTCTGTCACAGCATATGCTCACTCAAATCACTTTTATATTATATTATATAATACACTGTAAAGCAGCCACTTTGTAACTACACACCTGCTTGCAGTAAGTGCAATACGCAAGGTCCGCAAATAGCAATATTACACCGGTTACGCGTGTGGCTGTTTTGTACATGTGAAATATTAAAAGGAAGTTCTAAGGTTTGACTAAAAACAAACAAACAAAAATTTGGTTGGCCTTTTTTAGTTCTTTGCCATATAATGAGGCTGTTCATCGAGAGAAGAAAACGCTATTAAAATGGAACGAATTCTGCATCCAGCACAACAAGCTCAACAACAGCGAATGGGACACAATGGAATTCCAACAAACGAGAAAAGAACGTGTGCCAAATTTCAAAACGATATCTCCAAAACTGAGGAACTAATTCGACTATTTACTCGTACAAACAGGCGGACAGACAGACGCTTAATCGACAAACTTCGTCATGCTTATTATATATATATATATATAGATATATATATGTATTTATATAGGCAAAAGACTATAGATATACGTTTATATGTTATATGTTTTATTGGGCCTCCAACGTTTTCTTCTGAGTTTTGCAAACTTTGTGGCAAACTTAAAACACCCTGTTAATGAGAGAATAAGTCTGTCTCATCTGCTTTATTTACTAAAGTTTCGTTTTAAATAGCTTTTATTAGTTTCATCTGTATGTTTGTATGTATGTATGTTCGCAACTTCTGTCTATGCAAGCGATAACTTGAGTAAAACTTGAGATATCTTGATGAAACTTGCTACATATACTCCTTGGCACCCAACAGGTATCTCAGGAACTACCAGACCAATTTCAACAAAATAAGGTAAGTGAGGTTACCCACCCAATCCTATCACACGCTATGAAAATGGGCGACAACAACCACGTCTACTTCGAATATAACAGAACTTTAAATTCCATCTGATTCTTTTATATCCAGTATACAAATTAAACCCCAATAAATATATCGGCATAAAACTTTGCACAAGTAGTGCGCTTAAAGTATTTAACCGTATGTCCAAAAATGTTAAAATCGAGCTATAACTTTTCAAAGCCCAAACACCAAATTTATGGACTCCAGTTGATTTTAACACGCTTTTATTACTGAAACTGACAAAGAATCAACAGTTTGGTAGGCATTGCAAAAAACAAATTACAAAAAAATTACTCTACAACTATGCAGCTAAAAGCATGAAGCATCGTAAATGGCCCCTAAAACTACGGACTATCCATGCTGTCATTTGAATAACAAATTTCCTCAAACGCATCCTTAAGGAAAGCGAAAACTCCACGTATGGCTAAATAATAAGTATGGTTTAAAATACTAAAAAACATGCTTTTAAAGCACTTTAAACTGAAAAATAATAACTGTGCAAAAGTTAAAAAAAAACTAAAAAACTCGCTTTTTAAGCACTAAAGATATTTCGTATATTTCATAATTTTCGTATATCGAGCATATCACACTTTTTTCAAAATAATGCAAGCATTCTTTAGTTAAGATTACTGTCGGTTTATATATAATATTATTTTTCACTTTTGGTTTTGAAGTGCTTTACTAGCGCGTTTTTTAGTTTTCTAAACAATATTAATAATAAATTATTAGTGCTAACACAGCTGGGAAAAAAATTGTAAAAAAAAGTCCATAATTAACACAGCTGTAAACCATTTAGAAAAGTGGCATTAATGTAAAAATCAATCACCACAGGAACAGCAAAGCAACGTACTTGTATTACGTTTACATTGATGTATTAATCTGCGCATGCACATGCTTACATAAGTGTTTGTACTCGTACATGCAATTTTCAATATGATAAGCTGATTGAAAACCATGGCGAACAATGTGGTAATGCAATCTGATTGATTTGGAAATTCATTGACTGTTATTGGCGTCGTATGTGATATTATACTTTAATGCCATTGTAATCAACATCGGGGATGATTGGTTTATATCAGGTTATGACAGCCTTCACTCCGATGATTTTAGCGTTTTAAATGGAAAATTATATTATTTTTGGATAAAAAAAGGAAAATATTTTCTACTATTTTTTTTTCATTATCAATACTAGATTTCGTGAACCAATATTTGTGATTTCAACCCGAGCATCCAAATTAAAATTTAAGCGTAAATTTAAATAAAAAATAAGACATATTTTTTGAAATGTATCTCCTTCTTAAAATGTCGTTTCCGGTTTATTTAACTTTAGGGAAAAAAGAACATTTACATTGCAGCAGTTTATGCGAACTGGAATATTAAATTTAACTTCAGACAAGAGAAAAGGACTGTGTAAAGTCAAAATTGTTTCTGAACAGACTCTTATTTGTCAGAATTTATTTGATAAATCGAGTTTCATATTACAGAGCCATATTCCTCTATAGGAATAACCAAAGTTGTTGTTATAATAACATATAGATCTCTTAATTCATTAGACCAAAGTTGATCCAAGCTAAGAGAACTTAGGTTTTAAAACAATGGTATTAATATTAAGACTAAAATTAACTTTAGGGTCCATAGTAATATCCAAATCAACAAAGTTCAATACTTAGAGCAAGTATTAGATTATAGTTTTTTTATTCCATACGCTCGGAGAGGGGTGCACAGATCTGCGGGAAAAAGGGAATATGATTAATAAATAACAGGAACAGAACCGAACTAAGAAGACTACGTTGCGAAATCTTTTACATTTTGCAACCGACATACATACCTACGGTAACAATTGTGAATATAGCTTACTAAAACAACTATTCATTACGACCAACTTTCTTAACTCATAACAGTTTTACTTTACATCCCATTTTTGGAAGTCTAGTGGATTAAAGATTCCGTTATGCTTGCGTTGGACACTTAAACAGGATTGTAAATAACAACCCTGAGTTTACATTTTTGGGAAGCAGTTGAAAGAGTTCGCAAATATTTAAAAAAACAAGGTACACATGGTTTCTGTAAAAATAATCAAGGCATTCAAACTCTAAAATTCGCAAAACAAATTTCACAGCTGCTCTTGAGCAGTAACCTGATTTAAATAGTTCAACAGGTGTACTCATACAGCAATTTCGGATGCGTAATAAGGGAGTTAGTTCACAGATGAAAATCTGTGGCGGTTCCACCTAATGCATTGTGTGGATATAAATTTGATGTGAAATTTGGTTGCTTCTTCGATGTTAACTGTTTTTACTGTTCACTGTCACTACTAGATGTTTGAGTAACTATTTGTACCTTAACTAAATAATATAAAACACGGTGGTTGGAAAGCAATTTGATCGGAAAGTTTTATAAGTAATCTACTATTTTTAACATCAGCTGAAACAAATTATGACATATACTGAAGAATACACCATTTTAATTAAATATATTAATATTAAATATAGTTGTTTAGCGTCTTAACATTGAATAATAAGCAATAACCACTAAAAACAATAATTCAAGTGATTTCTTCAAAATTTCGCTAAGTCTAACTAATCCAAATATGCATACAGATGTAATTTAATATTTGAATAAAGAAGTAACTTTCATTGTTCAGTTACCCACTTCATAGTACTCTATGAGTATGATTAGGTAATTTAAAATTGTCTCAAACATCTCGAATATTAAAGGACGCTCGAGCGCAAAAAGCCCACAAACCATAAAGAAGACATACCGCTGTCCGAGATTGTATTGCTGCTGATGATCCATTCGTAAATATAAAGCAAACTGCGACAGCTGCCAGATGGTTCATAATTCGTATCATCAGAGTGGTTATTTGGATGGAATAAAATTACAAGGCAGCATGTATATTATTAATGAATAAAAATAACTTATATTGCCGTGGATGTATCTGAGTATTAAAAATAATAATAATATTATTAAGAATATAAGAGGACAACATTTAAAAACATTTTTTCGTATGGCTAAACTAAATAAATTTATAAAAATATGGAAGCTCTGGATAAAGATATGTTTATGTCTAGATATTTACATACATATATGAATGAGATTGGGAACAGGCATAGGGATGGTATAGTTATATATATTATATAGATAAGAAGAGGAAATATTGCGAATGGTTATGTGTAGTATAAATTAAACAGTTACGAGAAAAAAACTTACTACAGTCTCCAACTTCATCTCACAACAGCGACTGTTTGATGTGGCACGAGGATGAGGCAGCTGTGAGCTCTTGTCCGCCAACAGAAAACGTGTATATTCAATGGGCGCCTGCATTAAATGGATGATCCCCACTACAACGCACATATCAGGTAACATCGACAACAATTGAGTTAATCCAAAAAAATTAGGAGTAGAGCACTTATCTTTAAAAAATTTCTTAGATATTACACCGCCTGTGCTGTAGTTGGCGGCAAAGCGACTACAAGTCGCAAAATAGAACACAAACAACTGCACAACGCAGACCGCAAACACAGAAAAGAAGAATGTGAGCAACATTGCTGAATAGATGTGCAACAATTCATGGCTCAGACGCACATTCCGTACATATAAGCCATGTAAAGTCCTAATCACTTCACACAGATCGAATACTATTTTCCGACTGCTGATATTGAGCGGACGCCTGCCACTCAAATGCCGCTTAGCTTCGACTATAGCTTGCTGCAGCAATACATTAATCTGCTTGCCATAGTGCCCCAACCGTATGGCGCACAAGCAACACGTCAGGTTAGTCATTTGCAGCACTAAAATGCAGTAGTAGTTGAAGAGTAAAGAGGCCAATAGCACTGGCCGATGCAGAGCGCCCTCTCCCTTAATCACATAACCTAGATGCAACGGCGTCAACAGCATAAGCGGTAGCTTGGCACATAGCAAGAGGCAACTGCTCCGATCCAGATGTAGGCAGCGCGCACTATACACGCTGGATCCAAACAAGCGGACGGTGAGTTTGCGCAGATCATATTGCATGCGCAGCCATCGGTTAAGGAAGAGTACCGATCGGCGTTGCATGCAGCAATTCAACAGCATTATGAAGGCGGCGAATCCTTGTATTAATGTAAAACGTATGTTACCAACGACTGTGAGCAGCTTCGTTAAGTTAAGAAAGAACATTTCCGTATAGAGCGTGTACGTGGTGAATGGAGTCAAAGCTATAGTTATGAGTAGAATTATGATGTTATAGGATTGAAGTGCTTTCGAAAGTCGCAAATATGCATGTCCCGCGTGGTAACGTCTCCCATACTGCACCCAATGCAATCGACTACTTTTCTTGTAATCGAAAACAAATGAAGTAATGCCCAGTGCACATGTAACGTAGTAAATTCCAACTGCTAGATAATATATAAAATCTGGTTGAAACAGAGTGAGCCGTTTAAGTGACTTTTGCGGTCGTTGGTATGACATTATGAACTGTACTGCTAGGAAATTGTTTCGGGTAATTTATATACATTTTGTATAATACCTTATGGTTATTGTTTACAGTTAATAGTCGAAATGTCACCAGGGAGTCATTATGCACTGAAATTTAACGAGAACGTCATTTAAGTTTTTATAAATATTTCTAAAATTTTATGGCAACGAAATAACAAACTGCTTTAAATTATTGCTTTCAAAACGTATGAAGGGATTAAACCAAGGGTGCCAAACATTTTGCGAAACAAGTAAGAAAAGCTGTGAGGGAAACTATGGACCCATTGCACCGATTTTTGTGATCACATCTCAAACTACTGTATGGTGCTCCGTCCCCTCGATAGTCGGGTGTAGGTGTCAAAATAGGCTCGAGAGCCAATACAAGCATGCCGACGTTTATTCCAATTTTCCATACACATTTTATAACTCTCGCCTGGGATGGCCTTCAGTGTCTTCAGCGAATTATGGTTCGGCTCATTTTTTTGAGCGCTTATCGCTGGATTGTTGGACAGTTTCGACACTATATTCATAAACCCACATCTTGGCACTAGTAAGGACGCCTATGATTAATGCATGATTATCAGCTACGTTGTCTTTTGCAACCCAACTCGTCGTCGTTTTTGCAAAAGAATCATGTCTTTTGGTACGAGTCTAGCATTGATTCGCTTCATGCCCAAAACATTAACTAAAATCAATCGAGAAGGGTTGTTGAGATCCTCTGTTATCTTTCGGATGCCAACACGACGATTTTCAAGCACTGTTTCTTTAACTTTTCCGATGTTATCGTCATTAACACAAGTTTTGTTTTCGATGATTTCACGACTTTCACTGAATGATTTGCGTCACTCAAATACTTTACGTTCGTGATTAAGTATACTCTCCTAAACACTTGGGTAACATTTTCAATAAAACTATTTGTTTAATTTTTTTTTCATATTAAAATTCGTCAAAACAAAACTTTTTGCGTCGTAAACACACGAACATTAAAACATTGTAAGTCTAGGAAAAAAATTTGAGCGAGTTAGGGAACTTATTAAGTAGCATATTATAACACCAATATATCCTAAACAGACAAACATCAAAACAACCTTATGTTTCAGTAAACAAAATATATCAAAACACAATATTGATGAAACATAATGAATTGAATGAACATAATGTATCAAAACCACATCAAACAAAACAAAAAAAATAGATAAAAACAACCTTACTTTAAAACAAGCGAAATGTATCTTAACAAACTATATTTTATAGTAACTAGTAATAAGTAAACACACTACTTAGTATAAATAGCAGTAAGATCTATGTAACAAGTTAGTCCTAATAATATCAATAAAGGTACCCATTTCGGTACAACTCAAAAAATTATTTTTAATGACTCATATCGTATAAACGATATTAACCCGCGCAGTTTAAATAGACCAGTCCGGGTCATATTTGATCAGGTGGTATAGCCCAATTTCAGCTATATTGGGGGTGACGTTATTGGTTACATATGAATCGCACGTTTAGTATCTATATACAAGATTTCCATTAAAATTTACCATCTTACCGTTATATATCAGGTTGTCATTTGAATTGCCAAAAATCGTATATTTTTAATTCGTGACCTTCGGTTACCATCGCTATGGAACGTTGCCTGTTATGTATACTTTTTATTGTCACACTAGTGCATATGAGATAAAAATACATTGAACTCCCTCTGCGGTGAGTGGCGAATCTCCAAGCGTATTTCCATAACAGAAAAACTTCTCATAAAGGATAACATCAACTGCAACTTAAAAAAAATTTGTCGGATATGGATTTGAATGGGTGAGGAACCAACCCAAGTAAGCATCGTCCAAATGTGTTGACACAAGTTGTATTCAAACATATGTATATATATATACAGTTATGGAAAAAACAATAGGATATACTATTCAGACTATAAAAATAAGTGAATTCAAAAGGATTTTTTTCATCTTGTCTTCATTACAATTATGAAAGAAATATGAAAATGATATTTAACAAAAAAAACTTTTCTCGTTTTTGTGAAAGTTAAAATATTTGACCCCAATATAATTTTACTGGTCATAAAAATGGGGTTACAACCAAAATATTATTTTTTTGTTTTCCTTAAGACTATGCGCTCCTTCACTACATTCACAAATTTCCCATAGATTTTATGTCTAGAGATTGTTCAGGCCAATCCATAACGTTAACTCCATTGTCCGAAAAACCTCTTTTTACTAAACCTTAGGTGTTTTGGTGTCATTGTATTGTTGACATACCCCATGTACCCATTTGCTAATGAGCAAAATATAGCATTCTTTTTTGAAATATTTGGACGTAAAAAGCCAGGATAACACACCCCCACCATAATACAGCCACCTGCACTCGTACACATTTTAGTGGTATATCGTGGATTATAAAGACAAATTTTCGGTTTTCCCAACCTTTACTTTGTTTTCGTCTGACTAGAGCACATTTTGCCACTTTTTGACGTGTTAAGCACCTGAGCAATCTTTGTGAAATTTTGTGAACAATGAGCGTTAGCTTCTCTGCCACCTTTTAAGATGATCATTTACATAAATTTTTTTCAACTAATCTGCGCCCAACAATAAGTGAACACGAATACAAATTTAATCAGAATATTGGGTATATAACTATATTTGTGCAGTTTGCCAAGAGATGACGTAACTTAATTATAAAAACATTGTTCCAATATTCGGAACATGCATTAGAAAGCTACTATTCTTGAGCTTCTTTTTCAATATATGTCATTTCATGTCAATAAAAATATTTTTCATTCAAATATGTCAAACTTTGAGCCTGCTAGAAGTGTTTTTGCGGGGAATTCTTCTTCATTACTTCAATATGGTCGACGTTTTTACAGTGAATATGCCAAAATTGGTTTGCACGATTTAAAAGCAGTGACTTCGGCTTGAAGGATAAAAAACGACATGGGTGACCAATAAACCAAATCAACGGCAAAGTGAAAATCAAGGAGGCCAAGGTAATTATCTGTAATTTGTGGGATCAAAAGAACGTGTTGTATTATGAGCTTCTAAAACCGCCGATAACAACTCATCCAACTGAAGCGGCGATTGAAGAAATAATTTTCCATTATGATAACGCTCGGCCTCATGTTAACTGGTTAAAAACTATTTGGAAAACAACGGCTGGGAAGTTTTGCCTCACCTGTCTTATAGACAAAACCTTGCTCCTTTTGACTATCATTTCTTCCGGTCATGGAATCTACAAATTGATAGAAAGATGGGGAAATGTTGTAGCTTCAGCTGGGTATTACTTTGAATAATACTACTTTAAATGATTTTTTTTTTAATAAACGTTCAAATTTCGGAAGAAAACTAACCAACGAATACAAGTATATAAACCCAAAAAAGTTTAAATATACGGGAATATGCCAACAATATACGATACTTCGTACATTTTTTCGATGAAAATAAGAATAGATCGTTTTACCCACGGCCTACGACGGTTTTGATTTATATTAAGCGTTTAGCTATTTTAAAGTTTGTTTTGAGTGTTCCTTACTGAGTATTTTTAAGAACCGTGAAGCCCACTAATCATTTCGTCAAAGCACTAAATAATTCTCGTAAAAGGATCTCAACGAATTTAATTCAATTTACACTTCACTAAAGTGACCCTATTGTTTTGTTCATAACTGTATAAAACAATCTCTCGGTGACATACTACTATACATGCCAGAAATAGTAGTAATATAATTTTGATTATTATATACGAATACATAAGCAATACTGAAATATTCAAATAAAAGATTAGAATGCGCGGAAAACATAAATTCGTTTTCATACCTCATTCGCTATGAGTTACCATACCTCCCAACGCAATTACAATCACATAAGATGAAGGAGATCATTAAACTGTTTTTTATTACACAACATGTTTCATTTATAATGACTGCAATAAACATTTTAGTGAAGGATAACAATAAATTTTATTAAGTAACTTTG